TTAATTCAGTCTTAATTGCACAACTATCGTAGTAAGGGCGATAGTACGAGCTAAGCCTGGTAACATTCCCCGGTCGGTGAACACACCGTACGCAAAAGATAAATCGCTCTCCCACAATCCCATTTAATTCCCGACCGTAACAAAACGAACAAGATGACGTGTGTCTCGTTTAGTTAGTTTAGGCGGCCGCCCGGAACGCGGAGGTGGTTTTGCTTTACCAATTTTTTTATAATGCAATAGACAGTAGGTTTTTCGAATTTTAGGTATTTATAATGTTAGAAATCGGTACTCCGCACTTCCAAGCGCCGATGATCTCATTACGTTCTTGTTCTGTAAGTTTTACCATCACAAGTAAGAATAGGACGATAAAATGTCTTAATTACACAACAAAGAAGAAGACGTTCTCCTGAAAAAAGGCAAAAAATTTTTGCATCACTTTATTTGCACTAATTGGCATGCAAAATGCTAGAAAGAATGTTGAATAACCATGGCTAATCATATATATACTTAATTTAGAAAGTCTCGTGATTTATGTACATAGCTATGAAAAGCACGAGTCGCTGATAGCTGTTCGTTTTCAGACTTTTTTTTTACGCAAATGTTAAATATTTTCTCACGTGATGTGACTATGTTGCATCAGACAATGTGAGAGGGTAAATTTGGTAGCGTGCTAAGATTATGTAAGAGTGTGAAAAATTGAATTAAGAAACAAAGGAAGTGAAGGAAGTGACGGAAGTGACGAAAGCGAAAACGAATCTCTAGACCATAATATAGCACCCCAGAACTTATTGATACCTGAGGACGAAGCAATACAAGACGAACAACGACCTAAACCAATGGTAGAGCAAGGAATACCACCGGCCAATCCAGCTAACCCACCAGTCCAAGATCAAATGGAAGCTAGGGGTCGACTGTATTTGACTTTTGAAAAAGCAACTTCAATTTTCGTAAACCATCAAACTCGAATTATTTCAACATCTACAGTATTTCAATACTCAATTACCGACCGTTTAAATGGTGATATTGGATTTAGAAACCATCGGCCATTGCGAAAAGCGCGTCACAAGCTAATAACGCCGGTATGCATACGAGAATGGCAAGGACCCCTCGCACATCTGTTCAACGTTATTGTGACGAATGCAATGATTGTCGGCGTGATCCTAGGATTAAGAAAATCTTCAAACCCAGCAGCAGATAGCTAGGGTCTAAATAATGCAAGCTGCTGTTCTAATAAAGCATAAATCTCAAAATGCAGGGGTCCAGATCACTTGTGGTAGTTCCATCCTGTACCATAGATTAAGATAGTGAATGTGTTGAGGATATATTGATATTGTGTGTGACATTGAATCCGATAATGATGAAGCTGAAAATGAAAGTGCTGCAGAGGATGAATCAGAATCATTTGAAGCTTTGCATTCAATGCTATGGATGGCAATGCCATTACATTTAACTCAACTAAGATGGAACATTTCATGTGGATTCTTTTATTTTTGTTTAAGATGCAAATACATTTTAAACTGCCTGTAACATGTTCATCAAATTCTTGTAAATAATATTAATTGATATTAATATTGACAAATGACGATTTGCATTATTTCCTAACTCTCTCTATGTTGCAAGAAACTTGTTCAACTTCACGATTTGTTTAAGACTTATGTTTCTTGTTCAAAATGTCACTCTTTATGATGTCCACAAAACCATTAACTATGAACAAGATGGACAGTTGGCAATACATCATATTACTTAATTCGAGATGTACATTAATATCCATTATATATAACGTCATTATTTAAAATCCAACCCTAACACCTCCTATGATATCCATCCCCGCATATATCAACTAAATAATCTTATATCAACGTTGTGGTTTGGGGGGGTTTTCCAAGATGTCTTTCGCTTCGTTAATCTTGGTCGCCAGGTAAGGCGATCCACCACGATCAGGGTGATTTAGAAGCATAATGCGACGATGAGCATCTTTAATTTTAGTCTGATTCAATCCAGATTCCCTAATACAATATCAAGCCATGACATCATGAAAAGAGACAAGATGCATCAATACATGATACAGTTCTATATGCAATAAATTTACTCACACCCATTCATTCTTACTTGTTAGCACACTTACTTCAAGCTTAGTATTAACGCTGCCTCACGTTTGTTAATGCTTGCGTCAAACCCACCCTTATACATTCGACTCGGAGATGGTCGAGTAAATTTTGGCATTTGAGGCAGCTTCGGTTTGTGATGTTTAATGGCTCTGATAGCATATCGACCTGCTGTTGCAACACCAGCGATCGTTATGCCTATTATTAATGGTGTTGCCTATGGTCAATGAAATAAGGTGAACGGAAAATCGAGATAGCAAGAGATTCCATATAACGATCTATTGATTCAAACACCACCAATTCAATCCCAAAAAGTTTTTACGTATTTTTACCATATGTGTGTGTTTTAGAGTAAGGCTCTTTTGTGTAGTGGTATTAGTATTAGAGGGAGAAAAAAAAGAACCGCAATTTTTGTTGCAGGGGCGTGACTTGTGTATTACATATCCCGCCAGTTAAAATCTTGCAAACGTTGGCATACATTCCAGCAGTGGAAATTTGAGTTGGCTTTATGTATTTCCTCGTAAAGAATCCTGATTTATATTCACTTTCCAAATTGCTGGATTATTAATCCCTGGAACTAACGACATCGCTCAACGTTAACACTAAATACAACCTGATATGCCTAGCTTCTTTCCAGGACTACTTGACCCAGTTCATCGTCCCTACCATATTTGGTAATATAAATTTTCGATTACCAAATTAGTCAGAGGGCGATGGACTTATCCTTTAGAAGTGGTGATACCATATATGGTAAATCAGTATTTGGACCATCAGACGCGACTTGCATGTGTTTGCATTTATAGAGAGTGAATACTCAATGGTTTTATAAGCTCGGGACCAAACCAGAACTTGCATTTAGGGAGGGAAAATATAATGCTTGCACTTAGAGAGGTTGCACTTAGTATTAGGGTAGCTATTTTGAGATTACTTGAATAGTCTTAACAATATTAACATCAGATTCGATATGAAACACTCCAACGTATTCCTCATCCAACGTTGTAAATCGAGCAAAGATTAATAAAAAAAGGTCAATATCAGTTTGACAGAAGAAATACAAATACGGAATTTGACTAATCATTCCCAGTACCATCAAGTACGCTAACGTCTGGTAACAACTTATATTTGATATTAAAACTCGGATATCAATCCTCAAGACGCTGATACAGTCGACCTCTCCTACAGTCACACAGTCGGGACCAGGCAAAACTGGTGTATAGAAGGTTTACAGATGGTCATGTAATTAAGATTATACAGTCAAACCTCGATATAGTGAAGTCTTGATACAGTGAATTTCGCGCTATAGTAAAGAATTCCTCTGATCCAAAAACAGCATTAGTATAAACTTTACTATATTGAAAATTTTCGATACAGCGAATTTTCGATATAGTGAAGAAAAATGTCCGTCCCGCTGACTTCACTATATCGAGGTTTGACTGTATTATTAGAAAATCAACTCTCGCTTTTGAAATACCATTGATGTTGATTCTTCTCTCTTTAAAGTTAACGACATTAACAATAAAGTTTTAAACCCATTTCCAAAGTAAGTGTCAATGCTTTGATTGTTAACGGTAGATACTCTATAGATATAGAAAGCATGAATTTCTCATTAAATGGTTTGCTAGTTCGCTATGCTTTGCTTTTGGATGTTGTTTAACATATTCAACAAATCTCACATTTATTATCGAGGCTCAGTTGAGGTCTTGTTCTTGTTTTAATAAACTTCTACGTGCTTTGGTTAATGAGATTAATGTGTGAGGTGTGACTATATAGGAAGTGACTGTAGGGTCGATTGTACTTCGCATAACTTTACAGAGCTTAAAATTCTGACACAATGTGGTTGTGTTATTTGCAGTCAAAAAATTTATGTTGTTTTGTTTACTCCAATTTCCAAACCTGTGAGGGACGATGAGCTATGGTGTAGGACATCTATAGCCCGAAATAAATACCCCAACTTCAAAACCTAAGGCTTTTACATCAGAGGGTTTAGAGAAAAACTAATCCGTAAGAATGATAGAGCAGACGAAGCAGAATTAAAGTTACGGTCAAAAAATTTTTAATCAACTAAAAAAGTTTCGAGTTTTTAGGCATTTGAAAAGCACAATATTCATTATTTTATTGTTATGTAATATACCATTGCACTAACAGGGAAAGCGGTTGGATATCTGTGTTAGAGTGCAGTCAGACCTGTCGACACACTTTATTATTATCAAGTAAGTCAAGTCATTGTGATGACAATACTTTACCCTGTCGACCCAGCTTAAAAATTTCGGACATCCAGTTTGTACAACTTTTTGTTATCCAATAAACCGATAAGTTTAGCATTTATTGCTCTCTCGTGTTATTATTGGTAACATTCTTTATTGTTTACTATGCCTCGACCTACTAAAAGAAAAGCCGCACATAAAATAACGTGGCGATATATGGATTTGTATAGATACGGAGTTACAGGTAAGTTAGCGGAATATGTTGCTAGAAAATATAAATCGTACAGAAGAATCCCCGAAAATGCATGGGAGGAATTACGAACAAATTAGTTCGATCAATTTTCTTAAATGCATTATATACTGTAGGTAAGTATGTGCTGTTCAATCTGCAACATTAATTTCCGAGTCCAACATTAAAGTTTTTGCTCTTACACAGGGACGATTTGACCCGGAATTTGACAAAGTGTAATTTTCAAAATAAAGGCATTATGATTTCAGAGAATTTTCTTGGGTACATGTCATGTGATTGATAAGTGATCTGAGGTGCCTACCGATAAGTCGCGTTTGGCCTAACTCGGTCAAAAATTTTCAGCCCTTTTTTTCAATATTTAAAATCTCGATAAGTCTGTAAAGCTGTAAGTCGGCCAACCTTCTTTAATGCTATATGTAAATTACCCTCGATAAGTGATATTCAGAAAACATCATTACTATTTATTATTCATTATACTATAACGCTAATATAAAAAGATAGGATAGAAATATGTAACTGAGATTCAAGGAGTATCAGAAAATTTTCTTTAATTGGAAGATTTCGAACAGGTGTGGCTCTGCTTTTATTGCATCTTGTGTGTATTGTATTGACATTTGCGGAAAGAATTGGTTTCATCCAATGAAGCATCAAACTCATTACTGTGTGCCTAAATAAAGACTCAAACTCATTACCAGTTTCATAAACTTTACCCCGACAAATACAGCCATCAATAAATGTGCACGCTTTTATTTCGGTATCTTTTTAACTCAACCATATTGACATTATAGGGAAGCATAATTGGAAGAGGAGTAACCCATTCTAGATAATTCAGATTTAGTATAACTGTGATAAAGACCCACAGACGTACAAAAATTAGCACTATAAACAAAGGTATTAATAACACGGATATGCTCATAAACCCACCAATTTAATTTCCTTCCTCAAATAAAATTTGTACAACCTGTAAATAACCCGTGAATTACAAGTTTATTCAAAGAGTGTTTGAGTCACTAAATCACAAGCAGTGGACAATGTTAATATTGTAAATTGACTTCATTTATAACCAATTGTTGTCTTCATACCTGCAGCTGAATCCAAATCATAACGGTTTGTCGGTTTAGGCAGGCCCCCAGTAGGTAAGAGCATACTAGAATATTTACTCTCCTTCTCGAGACGTGACAAGGGTTTTATATCATTATGATAAACGGCATACCACGTGTTGTCATCAGAATGGTCCTTGTCTAACTCTTTAATAAGCCTGTCAATACCAGAAGAAAGTGTTTTTGCATCTGGACGCTTATCAGGATCAGCATCACAACACTGCTCGGCAAGTTTCTTGTACTCCTCTGGTGCGGAATCAGGCATTGATGGTCGTAGTCCGCCCATAATGTTGCATACTAAATCTCTGTTGAACTGCCTATCTCTAAAAGGTGGTTCACCAGTGGCCATCAAATACATAATAATGCCAAAAGAATATATGTCTGATTTTGTAGTAAATTTGTAGGTATGGAAGACTTCTGGTGCAATAAATGGTAAAACACCTTGAATGGTTGAATTTGGCTCGCGTGAATTCACTGATCGGGAGAGACCAAAATCGCATATGAATGGGTTTAGTTTGCTTAATTGAAAATCTTTTTCGGTTTCAGATTCATTGTCATGCACAACTATGTTTCCGCCATGAAGATCACGATGCACTAATCCCTTGAGATGAATATTAAACAGACGAGCTGCAATACTCTTCAAATGCTCTAATTTCATCTTCCATGTCAATTTGTTAATATTTTGATCCAAATAAGACAAAAGACTACCATTGTTAGCATGCTGCATAACAATCATGTACTCTTTTGTTTCTGGGTCTTGTGTCACTCCATAAATTTTAAGGAAATAATAATAACGTGAACACTTGGCATGATTTATGAACTATTAAATAAAAACAAATACAGTGTCAGATTAAGTATTACTAATGTCACTTTAATTAATGCTACCAATTATTGCTTACCTCGGAAATAAATAATTCCGGTGTTTCGTCAAAATTCTTAAAACGTTTGAGAACAACAGTTTGTGGCGTATACTCTCCTCTATGTCTTCTATATTTGGCAGTACCTTTATATCTGGCAGTATAGACTGTTCCATAACCACCAGATCCAATCTCCTTAATCTCATCAAAGTCGCTATACTGCATGTACTTTACATCTTCGTTAAGTCGTGTGAATCTGTCCAACAGTGCATGTACGTCGTGGTAGAACACCAAATAATATTTTCGCGTCGACGGTTCTTGTGTGATACCAATAATCCAAATATTCTCGGGTGTTAATATCTCCGGGTAATCTGTAGTTAGCTATTTAATAAACAAAACAGTCATTACAT